AAGATGTAAAATTGCAAGAATAATAAATAATAACCAAAATATAATGAAAATACAAGAAGGAGGAAAAAAATGAAAATGATAACGAAGAAATACTCACACATCAAAATCAAAATAAGGAATTAAAAGAAAAACTTAAAGAATATAAAATGAAAAGAATGGAAGAAGAACAAGCAATCTCAAATGAAATGATGGAAAAAGCAAAAGAAATAGTTAAGAAAGAAAAAGAGAAAGAAAGAAATAATAGATATGGAAATACAAGTATAAAAAATTCAAAAGAACAATAATGAAATGAAGAAAAATCAAAAGTACCAGAAGAAAACACAGAACTAGAAGAGAAAATAAATGAAAAGTAATTCCAGAAATAAGAAGATTATATCATTTAATCATAAAAGCTTAATAAAATGATACAAGAGAAAGAATAATGATCCTAATAATAAGGAAAAAGGAAATGAATAAGAAAGTGAAAAGTGAATGTAATGTTCAACTCAAAAATTTAATAAAAGCAAAGTTGATGTATAAATTTAAGAACATTATTTATTCCTTTTAATTATCTTAATTTAAGTATGTAAACCTTCTGTCATTATATTATGACTTATTGGGTCTTTTATTTAATACATAAATTTTCATGTACATTATATAAAGGCACATGAATAAAACATATAAATTGAAACTTATCAATAACAATCATTATTAGAAAGTAATAACAGAGAAACAATATAGGATAACGTAGTTAAAAATGTTGTAAAAAGAATAAAAACCATTAGAAGAAAACAAAATAACCACTAACAACCAATTAGAATCGCTTAATTGAGAACGTAGGCGATTTTTTGATGAGTAGACTTCTTTCCTTTAATTCCTTCAGTTGGTTTGGCAACTTTCTTTTCTTTTTCAGTTAAAATAAGTTCAATATGGCATGGGCTGCTTGAGAAGGAGTTAATGCTTCCATGTGCTCTGTAAAGTCTTCTTCTTGATGAACGAGCTTCTTGAACAGCAATATGGCTGACAGTTAAAAGAGCTGTATTAAGTCCTTTTGCTTTGGCATTGTCAACAGCATTCTTAAGAAGTTTAAGAATGAATTGTGCTGATTTGACTGGCCATCTTCCAAATGCACAATTTAATCCTTTGCATTGAGCTTTACGTCCAACTCCTCCATTGTGTTTTCTGAATGGAACAATTTCTTTCTTAATGATAACGTTTTTAAGGAATTCTTGAGCACGAGCAACTTTCATTCCTCTAATGGCATCTGCAGTTTCGTAAGTGTTCTTGAAATGAACCTTAAGGTTATCACCACGTGCTTGAGCGGCTTTTGCTACATTAACTGGTTTAGCGCAATACTTGACCATTTCTACTACAAGTGGTGTTTACAGATATTTTAGTTCTTTTGTTCCACCCTAAGGGTTCTTATTTATTTCTTTAGTTAATTTATTATTTAAATTTAAAATTTGTTTTTCTTTTTTATGTCTTTATTATTTATTTCTTTTTGGAAATTTGTTATCTTTAAATAATAATAAATAAGAATGAATAAAAACAATTACATTTAATCAAAAGTCATTTAATTTGCTTGCTAAAAAATGGTGTCAATAATTGATTATAAAAGGGTAGTGTACAAAGGCTTATTAGAGGCACAATCAATTTCTCAAAGAAATATAGTAAAATTTAGTATGAAATTAGTTAATTAATAGTAAATAGGGTTAATAGATAAAAAGAACTCAAAAAAGGTTTTGAAGTAGAGAATGCCAGCACAAAAAGGAAAGAAAGCTAAAGTAACAAAAAAAGTAAGTAAGAAACAAGTCAATAAAGTCCCACATGGAGAAAAGATTAATTATGATGACATGGATGAGGAAGAACTTCTTAAACAACTTGCAGCAGAAAATGAAGCAAGAGAAGCTGCAAGAAAAAAAGAAGAAGAAGAAAAGAAACCAGAAGAAAAAAAAGAAGAAAAGACAGAACCAGAACCTAAAAAGGAAGTTAAAAAAGTAGTTAAGAAAAAAATTTCACCTGCTGAATTAGCTCGAAAGAAAGCATTAGAAAAATTAAAGAAAGATAAGGAAGAAGAAGAAAGACTTCAAAAAGAAGAGGAAGAAAGAGAAAAGGCAGAAGCAGAAGCTTTAAGAAAATATAAAGAAGAAGAGGAAAAAAGAAAGATTGAAGAAGAGAAAAGAAAAGCTGAAGAGAAATTAAAGAAAAAAGAAAACCGAAAAAAATTACTTGAAAATGAAAAAGAAAAAAGAAGACTTAAATATTTGGCATCTAATTCTCATGTTATTGGATTAGAAAATCCAGAGTTAGTAGCTCAAGAACGAGAAGAAAAAGAGCTTGAAGAAAAAAAGATTGATGATATGAAAGAGAAAAAGAAGTATCAAAAGAAAAAACCAAAAACTCAAAAACAAGAAGAAGAAGTTGTTACAGAGGAACCACAAGAAGAAGAAATTAAAGAAGAAGATATGGAAAATATGGATTGGGAACAAATGATGGACTTAGAAGAACAAAAAGAACAAGACATTAAAAATAAACAAGAACAAAAGAAAAGAATTGAAGAAGAACGAGCTGCAGAAAAGAAAAGAAAGGAAGAAGAAGAAAAACTTAAAAAAGAACAAGAAGAAATGGAAAAAATAAAGCCAAAATACAGATCACCTATTTGTTGTGTATTAGGACATGTAGATACTGGTAAAACTAAGATTCTTGATAGAATGAGAAGAACTAATGTTCAAAGAGGTGAAGCTGGAGGAATTACCCAACAAATAGGATCTACATTCTTCCCATTAGATTCAATTGAAAAAATGACAGAAAAAATGAAAGATAAAACTAAATTAAAATTTAAAATTCCAGGGTTGTTGGTTATGGATACGCCAGGTCATGAAGCTTTCAACAATTTAAGAAGTAGAGGAACTAGTTTATGTGATATTGCTGTTTTAGTTGTTGATTTAATGCATGGATTAGAACCACAAACAATTGAATCTATTAATTTATTGAAACAAAAGAATACACCTTTTGTAGTTGCATTAAATAAGATTGATAGATGTTATCAATGGAAAGAAACTGATGGAATGCCATTTAAAGAGACATTTGCAAAACAAAATGAAGATACAAAACAAGAATTTGAAAATAGATTAAAATCTACTATTGCAGATTTTGCAGCACAAGGAATTAATGCATGTCTTTATTATGATAATAAAGATATTAAAGAATATGTTTCATTAGTACCAACATCTGCTATTACTGGAGAAGGTATTCCAGACCTTGTTGCAGTATTGATTGCTATGACACAACGATTAATGTTAGAAAAATTAACACCAACTGATTCTCTTCAAGCTACTATTATGGAAGTTAAAACTACAGAAGGACATGGTACAACTATTGATGTTATTTTAGTTAATGGATTTTTAAAGAGAGGAGATAGGATTGTTGTATGTGGAATGAATGGACCAATTGTTACACAAATTCGTGCTTTATTATTACCACAACCTATGAAAGATTTAAGAGTAAAAACTCCTTATATTGTCCAAGACGTTGTTTGTGCTGCACAGGGTGTAAAGATTAGTGCACAAGATCTTGATGGTGCAATTGCAGGATCATCTATTGCAGTTTGTAATAATGATGAAGAACTTGAAGAAGTTAAAAAAGAAGTACAATCAGAATTTGAAAAATTCCAAGTTAGTGTTAGTGAGAAAGAAGGTGTATTTGTACAAGCATCATCACTTGGATCACTTGAAGCATTATTAAAATTCCTTAAAGATTCTAAAATTCCAGTTTCAGGAGTTGGTTTAGGACCAATTTTCAAGAAAGATGTTATGAAAACATTAATTATGAAAGAGAAAAATCCAGACTATGCTATTATTATGGCATTTGATGTTACAGTAGATAAGGAAGCTAGAGACTATGCTGCAGAAGAAGGTATTCTTATATTTACTGCAAATATTATTTATCATCTATTTGATCAATTCACTGAACACATGAAAAAACTTGAAGAACAAAAAAGAATTGCAGCTGAAAATGCTGGAATTGTTGTATGGCCATGTATTGCAGAAATATTACCACAGTATGTGTTTAATGATAGAAATCCAATTATTTGTGGTGTAAAAGTATTAGAAGGAACAATGAAAATTGGATGTCCAATTACATTACCATCAAGAAATAATATGGACCTTGGAAGAGTTACAGGTATTGAATTGAATAATAAACCAGTTGAAGTTGGAAAAACTGGTGAAGAGGTTTGTATTAAAATTGAACCATTCTCACCATCAAGTGTGTTTACATATAAAAAACATTTTGATTCAAAAGACAAATTGTATTCAAGAATATCAAGAGAATCTTTAGATTTATTAAAACTTCGATATGGAAAAGAGTTAACTCAAGACGATATTCAATTATTAGTTAGATTAAAGAAAATGTTCAACATCTTTTAAATGAACTTTTTCAATATTTATTTTTTTTTTTCAAAAAGAAAGGAACTTTTAATTATGAAAAACACTTCAAAAAGTAAGAAATGGGACAAGAAGTTACTAAACCTCAAATGAAAAATGTTGTTCCAATAGAAATCATTGAAGCATTAAAGAAAAATAAATTACCAGAAAAAGAGTTTATACAAAAGATTGAAACACCAAATATATTAATGCCAATCTTATTTGAATATTTCTTTAAAAGAAAAGCATTCATTGAAGAACGACAGGAAAAATTATTAATTAAAATGGAACGAGTTGAAAAGATGAATAAATTGTGTTTAGGAATGGCTGTTGAAGCACCTAAAAAAATGAGTGGAATGATTGAGTTACCAAATAAAGTAAAACAAGCATTAGACTCATTAAAGCTAATAGAAAAACGAGTTAGTATAATACAAGAACATACTAAACAAATAAAAGTAACACTTATGTTTATAAAGAAGAATGTATTACAATAAATAAAAATTAATAAATTCTTTTATTGTTCCATTGGTTCCATTTCATCTTCACTATCATCTTCATCCATATTTTTTTGTTTCTTCATTAAACCATCTACTCCTAATGCACTTCTAATTTGATTTTTGATTTCTGGGTTTAATTGTATTTCCTCCATTTGATTATCATTTTCTGTTTCATTTGATTGAATAGTTCCATCAGCAGAAAATGATATAACGCGACCAAGTTCTTCTGGGTTTTCTTCAATCATCTCAATATGTTCTTCTTTATCCCAATAACATGGGAATAATGTTACTCTTGGCTCTGAAAGTGTTCTAGTAATCTTTTCTGGAACAAGCATTTCTCGTTTAACAACATCAATAGTAGGGTCAATGCCTTCAAATTCATTGTTAACATAATACCCAATTCTACAAAACTCTTTGTCTTTATAAGAAGCAGAAATTAATATTAATGTATTTCCTAATATCTCATCATCTGGTAATTTACTCATATCAATTGGTCCTGTAGTTATAGTAAACTTATTTAATCCAACGCTTAATGGACCAACCGCAATGTCTTCTAATATTTGGTCATATTCATTTGAAAAAGAAGACCCAACATAAATAACTTTAATCCCAATATCTTCTTGTAATTGTTCACTAACATTTATATATATTTCAAAGCTATATCCGTCTTTCATTGTAGATGGGTTTGGAAAAAGGGAGTTGATTTTAGTTAATGATGCCATTTAATGAATTTAAAAGTAATTAGTTTTTTGAGTTTTTTCTTACAAAAAAAATATAAAAATTTTATTTATTTAGTATATATAACAATATATTATTCATTTTGTAATAACACAAGAAGTCGAACAACTGGGTACTTTGTTGTTGGCTTAAAGAAATCTACTGTTGGATATTCTGACTTCATTCTTTCATTGTCCCAAGTTATAATATTTGAACTAAACCTCTTTGTCACCTTCAATCCAAAAAGGCCATGAACCCCAAACATAAACTTATTTTTTTTATTGAAAAGAAGTGTGTCATAAATGGATTTGTGAATATGACAACAGAAATTAGATTGGTCTACAAATTCAATAATAGAAAAACTGTCTACGTGAAACCACTCATCTAAAAAGAGACTATCCACATAAAACCCAATTGGCTTCATTCCTTCAACAAAGACTAAAAAGAACATGTTTTTTTTCTTATAAATTAATTTATATAAATAATTCTTTGAAAACCCAAATCTATCAGAGTCAAATAAAACTGTAACATTTTCAGAGTTAAAAGAAAAAGGAAGTTGTTCCATTAATTAAAAACTTTTGTTTTTATTTAGTCCTTTTTTATTTTAAATTAAAATGAATAGTTAGCAAAGTAAGATAGTTAATAAAACTATAGTTATTATAGTATTTTATAATTATTTATTAATATATTTCTTGTTTTCTTCTTTTAATTTTTTGT